CAGGGGAGGTAAAAATCATTAATTAAGAAACACATGCAAATGACAAGAAAGAAATCATGTGTGCTTTACAGAAAAGCTTACCTTTCATAAAGATACACACATACTCAAACTACAAGACTATCTGAATAATTACCTTAAAGCTAAGAATATTCTCCCACAGAGCAGATCAATAGTTGCAGCATGTATTTGGAATTATCATGTCAGCAAATGAGTGCAAGTCCCTTAGTACTCATCCATTCAAAGAGACAGATGGTCAAAGAGACAGATGAGCATATTTTCTATTTTACACAGATAATTCTTTTTTTTTTTTAAAGAAATGGTATTTTTTTTTGAAAGATTTATGTATTTATCATAGAAGAAATAGGGTGTAGGCCAGAGGTATGGGGGTGAGAAGATTCACTTAGAGAAAGAGTGGGGAACAGAACAGGCAGACCTACTGAATACACTAAGGGGAGCAGCAGGTGAGACAGGAGAGTTCTGCTGTGCCATGTGGGTAGCTCCCTGGTCTGGGATCATACTCAGGCCTTAGTGGTGATAGTGCTGAGACTTAACCCCTAGGCCACCAGGAAGGTCCTCTACACAGATAATTCTAATGTTATTGCTATTAAGCAATTTTTATACTAACATATAGTTTCAGTAGTATCCAAAATAATGGTTTCTGTGTGCCTCTTTTCCATACTTTAAAAGTTATCTAAATTTGGCTAGAAGTCATGAGAAAGCACACAATGATTTCTGACAAGATATTGTTGTATACAAGTTAAAAACAACAACAATCAAAAGAAAAGGTAGTACATGTGCAGAAAAAATGTAATGTTCCACTAAATTAAAGGTTCTTCCAAGAAACCAATAAATGGTAGGAGGCAGTACTAGGGGATCAGGCTGTACTAGGGGATCAGAAAAGTATGCCCCACTTGCGTGAGTTAATTCACACAGGCAGAACAAAGTAGTTCCATAAGGGAATTGTGTAAGCCACCCATCCCCTGACCAAAGGGCTGAAAAATTTTTTATGGTAGCTTTGCACCATGTTTTGAAAGGACTTATGTGTCTTTAGCATGTCTATTGATTCCAGATTATCAGCTCTGTTTCTGGATCTGAGTTTTGTCATCTCTGAAAAATTTTCATGAATTCCTAGGAAAATCCTTGCTCTCACGAAATCTAGGCTTCCCCTGAAGTGGACATACTAATATGCTGACCAAAACTTCATTTCTGTTTCTTTAGAGGACACTTCCTTGACAGCAGATATTTTTAACTTTCTTATTCTAACTGCACTTGAAATGACACCACGCCGAATCATAGTCAGCATTAGCTATTTTGACACCGTCATATGTTTTTACTTCTCTCAACTACATCATGTCTTTTGTCTCAGCCAATGGGTAACACGTTTTCTCTAGTTTATTGAAAAACTTGATTAGCTCCATGGAACATACTCCAACATATTCTGTGGCAAATTTGAATGACTTAGTCAACAAAATTTTACAGTGTGACTTAAAAAAATGTATAGGGTTAAAATTAATCAAGTTAATAAAATCTAGGGGGAAAAAGAAAAATATATCCTTACTTCCCATTTTCTACATTCTGCAGTTATAAATTAAGTGGATGCTATTAAAATTTCACACACTTATTCATTTTGGTGTGAAATTGGGGAGAAAATATCTGAAAATAAGAGCTGCCATGTGAAGAGTACAGAGACTAGTGGGAGGGTAATTTCCAGGGTGGGCCCTTGGTGTATGAAAACTTTGAACACAAATGCACATGTTTATCTATCAGTCCCAGAGAAACCAGTCTCCAAGCAATTTATTTTCAAATCATTTTCTAACTCCATGGTACTTGCAGAGGGTAAATGCGAAGAACCAGAAAGCCTAATGTTAGACCACACAGATGTGTTGACCTCTTCTGCTTTTATCCATGTGATGTCCCTTTCAGCTGAAACTATGAGGAGCCACACAAACAGACCCTGAGTGCTTGTGGAGAGCAGTTTCTCTTTGCTTCTTTCTGTAAGTTTTATGTTAGAATTGGCAGAGTGCAGACACAGGGGCCAGGGTTTTCAGTAAAAACATAAAGGAGGATATACAGATATTTTTTAAATATTCATTATTTCTGCTTTTATATCTTGATTTGGGTGATTCCTGGTCTCTTGCGATTCCTCCTTCTATTCCCCCTCAACCAAGTGCCCCTGACCACCACCACAACTGCGCAAGTAAAAACAAGAATATTTTCAAGATGATTTTCCCCTTCTTTAAAAAAAAAAAAAAAAAAAAGCTAATCCAGCTCAGAACTTTTCAAGAATCTATGGAACTCTCTTCTCCTGGAGTCCTAGTTGAGCCCTAAAATAAAGTTGGGCAGAGTCAAGCCTGCAATTATGGTCTTTCCAAGCTGGCTTTTGGCCTATTGTGCAGCAGCTGATTGTGCGAACTTGGCGTCAATGAGGGAGGTGCCCTCCCTGTTTGTATTGTGTGGGTGTGCTAATCTACCGCCCATGTCAAATTGCCTGAGCACTAAGTGTATTTGAAAGGTTCAGCTTGTGAGGTGGCTGAGGATTTGGGGGAAGGGTAGCTGAAGCTTGGCTTTTCTTATCTCATTCAAATTGGTTTGTCCATTTCTGCTACTGTGCTTCTCATAAACATCAAGATGGGTGATCTCCTGGGGGACTTTGAGTACATTCCCCTCTGTCAGTTGAGGATTATACCCTACAATCTGTCCCCTAGTGCTTTATATACACCCATTTAAAATAACTCCAGTAACAGGATCTTTAATTGACTCAGGGGACGGCGGGAGGCTACCCAGTATGATTGTCGTTTTGGTTCAAAGGAGAAGAATGAAGTTGATTCGGTGCCTTGTGTCCGAGTAACAATATGTGAAAAGATTCATTTAGTCCTTAATCCTTATGGAGGATCTGAAAGGAGCTGATCGTTTAACAGCCACACAGTGTTCTGCTTTCGAGCTGTTTTTCTTATTTATGTCTTGGTTGTTAAAGCTCTAACCATTTCCTTTATTGTTCAGTGAAGACAAAAAGACAAAAGAAAGGAAGACAAATTGGTATTAGCAATTCACAAAACAATGACTCCACACTTAAAAATGAAATCTACTAAAGTCTTGCGGGAGGAAAAAGTTTGGTTTGGAATATTTCGTGAGTCATTAGACAACTGAGCCTCCTGCATGACAACTGGTTTCATGTGGAAATATGGAACAATAAAACTGAGCAAAGGAAAACATCAGTTTTGAGTAATCTGATGCAAATAAAGAGAGAATTTGACCTTACTCTAACTGGGCCTGATCCAGTGATAACACCTCACATGGGCACAGATGAGTTTTGAAACCGATATGGGATTGCATTGATCTAGATGTTTATAGCAAAATATAGGGCAGCCTGTAATTTCCATAATTAAATGTTTTGGGGGAGAGAGTGAAAAATGTCCTTCCAGTTCCTATTTTCCAACACATTCCCAGTAGTAAATCAAACTCCTATTTTATTATAAAATTGGGAAAGTGGGAGATCATGGGATGACACAAACTAGTTAACTATAAGCAAAATGAGTCAAATTTCCTTTTATTCTTAACAAACAATATTTGCATGAATCTATAGGTTCTTGCCAGAATGTACTGCTGCTTATGTCACCAGGTAAGTTATCAGAGAATAAGCTAAATACAAAGTCCCTGAATTTCCACGGATGGGAGAAATGTAGAGGTTGGATGCAAGTATGCTAATAAATATGTTATTTTCTAATTTTCTCTTGAGTGGTAGTGAGTGTTTTACCCACTCACAGCAATATGGCTCCAAAGTATAGGGTATATGGACTTGAAAAACCCAAGTTTTCTGGCTCTGTTGAACCATGTTTTGAGATATGCGCGTAAGAACACATCTTGATACAGAGCAACCCAGGAAGATAAATATATAAATCAAATGAAAGCAAATATAAGTGGCATATTTTGTTAAAGTAGCACAAGATCTGATGAGACAAGTATCGTGTCCAAGATACACACCTGAATTGTTAAAAGAACAAGAGATAGTATCTAATATCTACTAAAATATCAATTTGGGACGTTTTCCTCCTACCTTTATTTTAAAACATATTTGAGAAAAATCAAAGAATTTAGGATTCAGTGAAATGAGATCAAATGTCAAGTAAACTCAGACATCTAGGAGGAAAGTATTTACATATAAATGTAGCCCTTAAAGCCAAATGAAATGATCGTCAAAGTAAATCCTCAGTTGAAGAAATTGTAAGTCATGTTGAAGTAAATTCTGGGCAGCCAGTTTTGAAAGGAGTCAGTGTTGAACTGTAGCTCACCATGGGGATGTGACCGATTGGCTGCTTAACTAAAGCACTAACCAAAGACAACAGCGGAACACAGTCTCCTCATGCCCTTAGTAAACAACTACACGGACACTTAGTTCTTTCCCACAAAAAGATTCTGAGATCTGATTAATATTTTAATCAACAACACATTTTTCACTAAGTGCTATTATCACAGAATATAATACAAAGTGAAAACAATTCAACTGTGGTATCCTGCCCATTTTTTTCATCTCATGCATCAGCAAAGCTGATATTCCAAAGCTCATGAACAGCCAGAGGAGGGGATGGTATTTATTGTGAGGTACCTAAAGGAGTCTCTTTTTCAGATCTGAATTCCTAATCATTTATCTCTCCAATGATCATCATCAGTTCTTAAAAAGTCTCCCATATTAATAAAATGATAAAAGAGTTTTCTGATTTCCCTAAAGAGATGATTTCCCACCATCTCTTTCTTTATACCAGGCTTGCACATAGTAGATTTTAAATACATTTATGACTTCAGTATTAAATACCAATAGGCAGTAGAATAATAATGATGATGATGATGATGATGATGATACAGAACTGAAGTAGAAAAATACCTTCAGGTTTGAGTAAAGCAATCCCATTTCTTTTTGATATAGGTAATGGCATCCAGTGCAACAGAGAAGGAAGCTATGTCAAGTATTGGCAGGAAGATAAATCATTGTTCTCATAACTTACCAGGTTCTCATTTCAGTGTTGAAGGTGCAAAATTATGTGTCAACATAATGCTATAACTAACAGCAACTTGCCAGGAAGTCACCTTCCATGTAGCCAAAGGGGTGAAGGATGAAGATTCAGCACACTTAGTCAGAGCCAAGATGTCCTCCTAGACGTACAGTTTGGCCCTCATTTTTCCACTCACCATGCTACTTGTTCTAGAACTTGACCTGTTACTGCCCTGTTCTGTTTATATTTGGTAGTTGTGACCTAACAGTCAAAATAGGACATTGTATTACTATCAGCCTAAGATACTCTGCACTAATAGATACAGCAGTAACAATTGGTGTGGTCATATAAGCAGAGGAATCAGGAAAATTGTCTGCTTTTTCTTTAACTGAGAAAAAGAAACTAGTGGGCTGAATTATCAAGTGTAGTTCATGTTTCAACAATGTCAAGAAGGCTCAGAATAAGGCTGGGAAAATTCTTGGTGTTTGCCCATTGTGTTAAATTCTGTAAATGCTGATTCCTTTCATCACGAGATAGATGAATAGAATCACAGGAGGCCTTCGATCTCCTGGGTGGGCACACTGAATAGTTGAAATCTGCTGAAATATTCACCATCTCTCTTCCAGGTCTAGAATTAGTGCCAGTTGTGGAAGTCAGCTCAGATCTCGGGTTGAAAGTTTCATTTTTAGTGTAACACAATTGTCTCTTGCCAAGAGCATGATTTATTTTAGTCTTAGTCAAGCTTCATATATAAACGTTTAGGTCTTGCTTGAACCAATAAACCTTTATATTCTTTGAAAAACTGTGATGGATTATACGCCTGGAGAGTGTGTTCTTCCTCTGAAGGATAATTAAAAGCTTGTTCTTTTCCCAAGTGTATAAAAAAATCTACATGTGGTTTCCTAACAATCACGATATGAATTATCAAACCTGACGTATATTTTACAAGTATTAATCTTGAATAACAAAGACAAATTAACAAAATAAATAAAAACAAAAACACAAAATCAATAATTACCATTTTTATATCATAATTACTATAGATAGAAAAATAAGAGGAATCTAGATTCAATTTATCAAACATTTTAATCCTCAGAACATCACTGCTAGATGCATTTTATTATTCCCATTTTCAGAGGTAAAACTTTAGGGATTCAAACTAATTCTTCCTGACTAGAAAGTCTAGTTTTTATTTTCTGGTTATTTGCTGTTTTGTTTTCTGCCACAGGGATGTGGCAGTGTTATTCACACTCCTCTAAATTCACCTTGAGTTTGTGTGCCCCCCACCTTCCCCCAACTAGTGCAGAGATGCGTATGTCCTAATGCACTGTACATATCACTGTTAGGTTACATGGCTATATGAATTAAAGTTGCAGATAGAAATAATCAATAAATCAGCTGATCTTATAATAGAGATCTCTATTATATTCCTAGGCTATCTAACAGGCTTAATAAAATCAAGAGTCTTTAAAATTGGAAGAGAAAGAGATGCTACAGAAGAGTGCTAAGAGAGATGCTACATGACTGACTGTGAGCATGGAGGAAGGGGACAATGAGCCAAGGAATGTGGTTTCTTGATTTTTTTCCCTTTTTTTTTTTAAGATTTATTTATTTATTTATTTATACAAGCACTGGGTACAGTCAGAAGAGCGGGAGGGTGAGAGAATTCACCAGAGCCAGAGCGGGGAGCAGAGCAGGCAGAAGGACCAAAGTACACTGCTGAGGGGAGCAGTGGGCGGCAGGAGAGGTCTGCGTGCCATGTGGGACCCTCACCCGGCGGCCAGGGATCGAACCGGCGCTGTAGAGGCTGCGGGCAGCTTCACAACCCAGCGCTCAACTGCTGAGCCACCGGGGAGGCCCTACCTTGTCAACATCTTGATGTTCGCTCAGTAAGCTTCACTTTGACCTTTTAAACTCCAGAACTATAAAATAATTAACTGTCACTGGTTAAGCCATTAAGTTTGTAGTACTTTGTTATAACAATTCCCATAAAACTAATACCACTGATGGACATGCTAGCTCCTCATTCATCCATCTCTGTTGACTTTTTACACAACCCATTGCTTCATCTTCCAACATCCCCTCCTGCTAGTTTCTGCACCTGGATCTAAAGATGGTAAACATTGAACTTCACCTTGCTTTCATGATTCCACTTAGAAACACTGAGGATCCCACCTAACAATCCTAGGACCCCTCACCTTTTATTGTCCAGTTCTGGGAGTCAAATGCTGGATAACTGGACACTAATAGCAGATCTTTAAGCGTGTAGTGCTATATCATTCTAAAGAATGAATTATGAGCCAAAATGAAATAAAATTCAAATTATCTGTGTTGAAGCCTTCATAGTTTATTTAAGGCTAAAAAGAATTTCTTGGACTAGGACTTAATAGTCTCATTTTACATCTTCATCTGAAAGATGAGATAATAGGCTTAGAGGCAAAGTCATTTGACAAAGATCTTACATCTAGTTAGTGGCAGCCAACTCTAGAAAAAGTTGTCCTGACTCTGAGTGCAATCCAAGTTCTAGGCCTTCATTCAACCAGAGATTGATCTTCTAGGTGAAGTCTCAGAAGACCTAGTGCAATAAATTGCTTATTTTATGGGCCTCCCTGGTGGTACAAAGGGTTAAGCACAGCACTATGAAGATATCCCCACCCTCTCTAGCATGATTTCGATCCCCGGCTGGCCAGGGAGCAACCCACATGGTGCAGCAGACCTCTCCTGCCTCACCTGCTGCTCCTCTCAGCAGTGTATTTCAGTTAATCTGCCTGTTCTGTTCCCCACTCTGTCTCTGGTGAATCCTCTCACCCCCTGCACCTCTGGCCTGTACCCCAGTTCTTGTATGCATAAATATATAAATCTTAAAAAAATTGCTTATTTTCCCCAGAACTCTGAACATAAACCAATTTCCTTAATCCTAAAATTCCAACCCAGTACTTATTCTCCTAACTTACCACCATTAATTTTGATTTTCCTCCTGCCTGCTTCCTCACTCCCCATCATATGTAAACTGTGATTTACATCTGAACAGGAAACACACTCAAAATATGTTCCTCAATTGTTTACCTAACCATGCTTCAGGCAATACCAATGATGAAAAGTTAAACAATCATATATTTATTACTGGTGTTGAATATTTGCTTTATGACAGAATCTTAATCTACTCAAATTACTAATAAATTCACTGGAGCTTTTTACTGGAAGTATTTTAAGCTTTCAAATAATTTACCTTTATTGCAAGTTCACAAAATATAGCCTTCTCCTGATTTCTGATAGTCACCAGAGTGGTAAATAATAAAAAGTTTCATCATTTAACTCTTTGTTATTTTTAACTACATGGGTACTTCAACCATTACCTTGAAATATGTCAAGCTCATAATAATATATTTCCCTCTCCTGGTGGTGTGTTTATTTGTACTAAGCCATAGTTCTTAACCCTCAGCTGGCTCCTATTCTTGTTTTATCTCATTATCCCTGTTCCCTACCTGAGAACTCCCTTACTGAATTTCTGCTAGCTCCTTGACTTCACTGTAGTAATTTATGCAATAATACCTTTGCTCTTACAAATTATTTTCTCCTGAAATATACCCATCTATCCATTCATTTATTCTAGCAAACATTTTCTGAATGCCCATGTGTCAAGAATGAGGAGAGATACTGGACAAAACCCACAAGACTTGAAATCCATGTATATAGTCAATACAGTCCATTGAATCTATAGTCAATGGAAATGGCAATTACAAAAACATAAGAAATAGGGACCTCCCTGGTGGCACAGGGCTTAAAGACAGCGCTAGCAAGCTATCACCAGCCATTGCAGCACGAGTTCAATTCCCGGCCAGGTTGCTAACCACATGGCACAGCAGACCTCTCCAGCCTCTCCCACTGCTCCCCTCGCCAATGTATTTTAGTATCTGTCTGTTCTGCTCCACACTCTCTCTGGTGAATCCTCTCACCACCTGCACTTTTGGCTTACACCTCATTTCTTGTATGTATAAATAAATAAATCTTTTTAAAAAACACAAGAAATAAGTATTATGATAAGTAAGTATAGACCTGCTCTTAGGAGAAATACTTAGTCTTGACTTTGTGGAAGGGATTTGTTTGAGGATGAAACCAATGACTTTTATATTCATTATATAGACTGGGTATGATTAGCATATAATACACACTCAATACTAGGTGATAGAATTAATGAGAACAATTTATGATGGAATGCCTCCTGAGAAACAGATTTGCTATGATTCCTTTATTTGCAGATAACTTTGAATCATAAACATTTATTGCCTATTAAGATAGAGCTTATCAGAGAATGGTGGAAATTATTTGAATATTTCAGGTTTATAAACTAAAAAGCATTTGAATTATTTCCCCCATAAAATTTCATATATATGTATATATATATAGACCTCTGAATTCTAGAATTACAAAATAAGAATACAAATACATATATACACACACACATATATATCCATACATTTTTTTTTGCAAGTGAAGAGAGGATATATACAGCCTACTCTGACTAAGTCAGTTCAATCACTCCAATTTAGGGGTGAGAATAACAGGTTTTGAATTCTGGCTTTGCCATTTATGTGTGACATTGGCATGTTATTTAAATTCTATAATTCCTAACTATTAAGTCACTATAATGCTAATACTTTCTAACATGCAAAGGATGAGAAAGAATGACATCTTCATCTTCTGTGTGTCTTTTGCACCTTGATGATATATATTTACCATAATTTTTGGAATAACTGAAAGTAGATAGAATTTTGCACATATAATTGAAAATATTGCCATAATAGTCAACATCCATTAATTGGATGAAGAAAAAAAATCAAGAATTGGAGCTCTGTTAAGTAAATGCCCTCCCTGTCCCTTATATACTGTCAGCTTTCTACAAAACAATAGAAGGAAAGAAAGAACGAAGCAAATTCTCCCTTTTCTTAACTTATTCTATTGCCCATGTAATGGACTGCCTACATTACATTCCTGAAATTTCGATGTTACATAATTTCTAACAGCACAGTGATATTATTTGGAAATTCAATAAATTGGAAAGCTGATGGTACAGTGATATTTCCTAGAGACCTCCAGCTAACCATCAAGCCCATCTCTTTTTCAGGCACCACAGTAAGACACATGATTGTGGTCCAATCGATGGGATGTGAATACATGTGATGCAACTTCCTGGTCTGTGAGGTACTCCAATTGGTGATTC